CGAGTTAAAAGGAAGCTGAAAGTTGCTGGGAAGTTGCTCGGGTTTCCGGGGCTTCCAGGCTTAAACTTTGCACAGGCAAAGTTTGCAGGCGGGAGCGTCTTCCCGCCGAGGAGTGGGAAGGGTTCCGCCCGGCAGGCGGGCTGCTTGGAGGAGGCGACTCGGCGGTGCTCCAGGTTTCCCCTCCGCCATGCGGCTCGGGGCCAGGCACGAGTGCCCGCGAGGAAAAAGGAAGCCGCAAGTTGCTGGGAAGTTGCTCGGGTGCTGGGAGCAGGCTTTTAAAGTGCCGTCCGAGCAGGACCGCCGAGCCGGGAAACGGGGCACCAAGGCAGGGCAAGGCTCCACCAGCAGCGGCCTAGCTTTAGGTGGCTCCAAGCAGCCCGCTCCAAGCAGCCCGCCAGCCGGGCGGAACCCTTCCTGCTCCTCGGCCGTAAGACGCTCCCGCCTGCAAACTTTGCCTTTGCAAAGTTTAAGCCTGGAAGCCCCGGAAAAAAAAGGGGGATCGGCGGGGACTCATCTTCGGAGAGGTCGCACTCGAAGGTGATTTCGAACTCCCAGCCGAGGCCTTTGCAAAGTTCTTCTTTTCTTTCCTACCCCGAGAGCGCTCCGCACTGTTTTGCAGCTTTGGGGGCCACGCGGCGCAGGGCAATACCAGCGAATTTTTTTCAGGGGCGGGCCGGATTGGACAGACCAACGGGCCGGATGTGGCCCGCAGGCCGTAGTTTGCCCACCCCTGGACTATGAGCTGTGGTGGCGCAATGGTTAGAGTGCAGTACTGCAGGCTACTTCTGCTGACTGCTGGCTGGCTGCAATTTGGCAGTTCGAATCTCACCAGGGTCAAGGTTGACTCAGTCTTCCATCCTTCCAAGGTGGGTAAAAGGAGGACCCAGATTGTTGGGAGCTGACTGTATAAACCACTTAGCACTGAGAAGTGGTATTGTATTTATTTATTTGCTTGTTTGTTTGTTTGTTTATTTATTTATTTAGGAAATCCTTGAAAATGTTGTTGTACAAGTGTGAAAGACCAGATACAGCAATTAACATGCCATATACAACTTTGTAAAACATTGTAAAAATTCCTAACTTACTGTTCAATGTAGAGGAATTTTAAAACATTTATCTTATTTGCTTTATATATTTTTAAACTACAGTTTAAAAAACCGTTTTCACCATTCAACTCTTCTTTTTTAAGGGTACAGTTTATTTGAGAGAAATTTAAGGCTGATAAACATTCACTTGTAGAATTTAGGATACAAGCTAAAGTTCACATTTTCTTACTATTTATATATGTAGTTCAAATTTTCTATAATGCGTTGATGACAGGTGTTGGGTACTTTTATGTTAAAACATTTTTGTGGTTTGAATGTCAGATTAAATTGCAGACAGGAACCAAAAAACACTGCCTAAAATATGTATATGTAGTTTCTATTTGAACTGTAGAATTGAATCAGCATTTATGCAGTTGAAACAGTTTAGGGTAGGAATAGTTAGTCTGGTGCTCTTCTGATGTTTTGGACTAATTTCCTTCAGATTATATACAGAATTAATAATGACAAGTCATTATAGAAGTTTCTAACCTATCTGAAGGAAAACACTTTGCTTACCATTGAGTTAGAGGTATGGTGCTTATCAAAGGTCTGTTCACTGAATATGTTTTTATCTAAACATTCAGCATGGAATCGGCATTAAGAAGCTTGTGAGTAGGATTGGCTAATAATAATTCACTTATTTACTTATTTATTTGGCACATTATTCACCCAATTAATGATGAGCAATTGAATCTTGCTTGGAAAACATTGTGTCTGCCTGTTGTGTTGGATTACTAACAGACTTGAGCATGAAATAATAAACGAATATTTTGGTTTAGGAATACCACAGACTAATACTGAATTTTCTGCTTATTTATTTCTATACCTTCATTGCCCCTTCTTTGATTTAATCAGATTAAATCACTGTGACCTATGCAATTTTATCAAAATCAATACAATATCTGATGTGATTATCATGACAAGGGGAGCTGAAAAACATAGGTCACCGTAAGCTCTTGTACTAAATGATAGCATTGGCAAATGAATCCAAGGTCATGGGGGATAAAGGGAAAAAAACCTGGGAAATTGTGTTAGAATCTTGGGAAGCAAAAGGATATTAAACTGTATTGAAATGAATTCATGAAAATAAGAGGACTTTTAAACAATAGGATAAGATTAAAAGTAGGGAAGAAAACTGCTATACAGTCTGTAGCCTTGATTTGATATTCCACGCTATTGTTCAAAGCTACTGTGAGAGAGCAGAAATTGTTCTTGTGATTTTCATCATTGCATTGGGTTTTTTTCTTTGCTCCTTTCCTTCATAGTAAAGATTTGTAGGCAGTATGTTCACAGGTGTATTGTTAAATAAAAACTTATGTACAGTAGTATGTTTTCTGTTATTGGATTTCCAAAATCTGAACTAGATCTGAGCAAATCCCTCATGAATAGTGTTGAGAAATGTATTTGATAACTTCAAAAGGGTTACCTCAGCCAACAAGAAGCTGTGCGCATATCCTAATTACAGGAATAATCTGATGCACTAAAAGCATTGTTTTATTTTGCAGAATCTTCCAATGCAACGTTATTGACCAACGCAGAAAAAATTGCTACAATTACAACTACACATACTCCTCAACAAATGCCACAGGAGAACAGGTTAGTTTAATGCTACCCTCCCTTAGAGTGGCTGGGTTGTAATCTCCATTCAGTATTTCCCACGTATCTTCACTCCCATAAATCTGATCTTATTTTTTACTCCTTCTTTCCATGATTAATTTGAACAGAAACAATGCAAAGACAAAACAGGAATCCCAGTTTGATTTCAAAGCACCAACAGCCTCCCAGGTAAGGCTATTTGCTGCCCACAGTTTTACCTTATTAGCTGCAGCTTGCACATTAACAATGTTCTTCCCCTCTCTGTATAAACTGTATTTATGTATGTATTTCCCACATAAAGTTCAATGTATCTGCATTGAGTGCTTTCTTAATTTGTCTCTGCATGTATGTACACATGTGCTACTGTGAGCCGCCCAAAATTGTGCTCTAAACTTAGTGACCTTGCAAATCTTTTAAATAAGCAATGAAACAAATACAGAGCAAATACGCTTTGCTGACAATGGTAGCAGTGGTGTAGTTTGTGTACATGCATACATGCCAATTACACTAACAGGATACCTCCCAAACAATTGTACCAAAACTTCTGAAAGAAGCAGCTGTTTCAGCACTTCTAAGTGGTCTTAACTCAGATTTGAATGACTTAATTAACGAACTTTTGGAGAACACTAAGGTAAACTATACCACAAGATTTCTGTCTTTAAAAATGGGAGCTATCTTGTTTTTGATATAAGAATTGAATTTAATTTTTAAGGAATCGATTAAACATAGCGGTTTGAAAATAAGTCTAATTTAATACAGGGGCATTTTCCATATTTCGTATGTCCTGTGTTCATTTTAATGATATACCAATCAGCCTGATCATTTGAACCAATGCTCTTCTGCCTATAATTTAAATCTTTTTGATGGTTAAGGTTGCACATTGTATTTTATTACCTTTTTCCAGCCAGAACAAGATTTTTACACTGTGGAACTTGAAAGAGGAGCTAAAGGATTTGGCTTCAGTCTGCGAGGTGGCCGAGAATATAACATGGATCTCTATGTCTTGCGGTTAGCAGAAGATGGGCCTGCTGAGAGATGTGGAAAAATGAGGGTATGTTACAAGCTCACATGAGCTACCATTTCTCCTTTGCCTTATCTGCAGGCCAACCTTTCTACTCAGTTTCCTCCTTTTTTTCCTGTTTCATTGCAGAATACAGATGACCTTATTCAAGCCATCAGACAAAAATCATCAGCAAATGATTTTTTTTTCTTTTGTTATGTCTAAAAGTGAAAAAGCCTTTTAGCCCATATAAATAAATATGTGCTTAGATTATTGATTTTCCTCTATTCAATGCAGATATCTCACTGCTTCAGATGCCATTCTCGAAATTGCTCTGCATTTGATGCCATTCTCAAAATTGCTCTGCATTTGAACTGTTTTATGTGACGGTGTTTTGTTGGTTTGTTTTAGAATGGCTACATTTTTAAACAAGGCCTCATAATTCCATCTGTAGAATTTCACTTAAGAAGTCCTTAGGACTTACAAGCTTAAATGTGCAACATTTTCTGGACCAAAGATCACCGTGCTTAATCTTTGAGTGCCATGCCAAATATTGAATACCCTCAAATAATAGGCAGGGTCCCTACAAAAAAAATACTTATTTCATGTACACATACATTCAATTAAAATTATTCTCCAGTATAAAACTATTTAGAGATTTCCCCATCCCGTCACTACAAAAATACGTTTTCAAAATCTATAGAAACTAACCATATGTCTTTGCAGAAATAATTAAAATAGAATACTAGAGTTGGAAGGGACCTTGGAGGTCTTCTAGTCCCTATACCAGTGGGCCGCGAGAAAATGTTGGTGGGTTGCAGAGAAATTCCACCCCCAGAGCACCCCCCCAAAGCAATTAATCCAGGCTGCATAGAAACTCAAAGCTGTGCAGCCAACATGGCCCGCGGGAACCCTCCCTGCCTACTCACTCCTTACCCGGCAAACTTGCCTGCTAAATTGCGATTTTTCCTTTTTCCGACCATCAGTTTTTCTGCTCTGCCAGGGGATTTAGATTAGCTAGGAAGCAAGAAATGGTTGGATTTCTAGCTTTCTAGATAATCTTTAGACCTTCGGCTTTGCTTTTAAGCACAGCTGAACCTCCCTTAGGACTGAAGGTTCTATTATTCAGTGCAGACTCACGGCAAGCAAATTATATGTGACAGATTGAGCTAGCCGATGGCAGATAGATAGATCACTGAATGATTCTGTGAGCAACTCAATATGCCTGCCTGCTTTGTCTGATTTTGGGTAAAAGTTGCTCTTTTTTTATAAAATATTCAATATTTACATGCATGGTGTGTTGTGAGTTAATTTTGTGAGCTTGCTTGCCAGCAAATTTTATGAGTTTGCTTGGAAGCAAATTTTATGTGACAGACTGAGCTAGCTGATGGCAGATAGATAAATCTCTGAATGAATCTGTTATTCTGTGAACAACTCAATCTGTCTACCTGCTTTGCCTGATTTTGAGTAAAAATTGCTCTTTTTATATAAAAAATTCAATATTTATATAAATATTTATAATATTTACATACAAGCCATGCCAAGCCAGTCACATGACCATCAAGCCACACCCACAAATTAGGCCACACCCACAGAACCGGTTAGTTGTCCCTGGGATTTAACATTATAAGTTTTGTGGTCCCTGAGGTCCAAAAGGTTGGCGACCCCTGCCCTATACCATTTGCAACAAATGGTTATCCAACATCTTTTTTAAAACTTCCAGTGTTGGAGCATTCACACCTTCTGGAGGCAAGTCGTTCCACTGATTAATTGTTCTAACTGTCAGGAAATTTCTCCCTAGTTCTAAGTTGCTTCTCTCCTTGATTAGTTTCCATCCATTGCTTCTTGTTCTGCCCCCAGGTGCTTTGGTTCCTAGCTTGATTCCCTCTTCTTTGTGGCAGCCCCTGAGATATCAGAACACTGCTATCATGCCACCTCTAGTCCTTTTCATTAAATAAAACATGCCCAATTCCAGCAACCATTCTTTATATGTTTTAGCCTTCAGTCCCCTAATCAACTTTGCTGCTCTTCTCTGCCCTCTTTCTGGAATCTCAACACCTTTTTTACATTATGGCGATCAAAAGTGGGTGCAGTATTTCTAGTGTGGTTCTATAGGCCATCCAGTTATGCATTTATCTATAGGCTTCAGAAAAGGAGAGAAGGATACATAATCCATGGTCACCCTTTTTTGTTCTCTTTTTTGTTGTCGATGTTGTTCCTAGTTTATTTTTTTCTTTTTACCTATGTAGTTTTTTAAAGCATTAGTCTGGATATTTTAACTTGCTTGCTTTAAAAAAAGAATAAAAAGCAATGTTTTTCCATACCACTGTCTTATTAGAAGTAGCACATTTACAACAAAATCTCTATCAGGGCACTATAAGCAAAATTGGTTAACTTGCCATCCTCGCATTGGGGGTTAGATACATGGATATTTTCAAACTATCATTATCCATCTTTCTTTCTTTCTTTCTTTCTTTCTTTCTTTCTTTCTTTCTTTCTTTCTTTCTTTCTTTCTTTCTTTCTTTCTTTCTTTCTTT